ATGCCCAAGAGAAATCGCCCTTCCCCATCTCCCCAGGGCTAGGGTATGGACTGGCCGGGCTGTGTGGTGCACTGTGGATGATCGTGCAGAAAACACCTGGATTCTGGTGACCTGTTCAGACTCTCCAATCCTGGGGAGGAGATTCTTGCCTTCTCCCTGTGGCTGGAGCACCAGGAGGGTTGGGCAAACAGAACAGGGCTATAGAATTGTCCCCTTTGTGCTACTGTACTACTCGGAGGAATCCCTGGAAAAGACAATGATTTGTAATCAGTACTTAATCACCTGTAGGTAAATGGGTGCTCCTGAGCTGTTTTAAAAAGCTGTTTAAAAAAGTAACACCTAAGTTAGCACTTTTATTAAAAAAAGAAAAACAAAACAAATGAAAAGCTCTTTAATAGTAATTTCCTTTAACTCTTAGACTAAATGTTCCTCCAGATAGTCAATTGATTCTACTCAGGTGCCCAATAAGGCTTTAAAACAGCAGCAGAAAGGATAGCTTTAGGCCAGCAGGGAGGCCAAGCCCTAATTAGGAGGAATGGGCTTTCCTGCGCCCCCTGCTGGGTGAGGACCCTCCAGCCTCTAGCAGAGCCCCTCTAGGAGCCAAGCCTTGTTACTTCACAGCCAAAGCTGGGAATGGCCAAGTCCTCCTTCCTCCCCCTAGGCCCCCAATGTCTGGCCATTTGGGAGGGGAGAGGGCTGTCTGACTCCCTTCTGGGCCTTTATCTCTCTCTTCCTCAGCAGACCCTCCCTCCAAGCTCCCTCCGAAGACCTCAACCCAAGGTCAGTTCTTCCAGGCTGACATTTGAATGGAGAGATCGCAGGTCTCTGGGCACAGATGGGAGCTCAGCACTCTGGAGTTGGGAAGAACATACGTTTTAGACAACTACCTCTTTGGGAATATATTTAAAAGTTTTGTTTAAAACTGCTGCTGAGACAGGGCCACCATCTGGGTCACATCCCTTCCTACACCCGGCGTGGGCACAGACTCACAGGATACTTGGTCAGGGCTACCCACATCAGGATCTCGGCAGTTGGCTGGCCCTGCCTCTGACACCACCCAGCTGCCTCCCTGCGTCATCTGTGACTCAGGTTCCCCATCACCGGGGTGGGACTTGAGGGCACAGCCTGCCAACTGTTCACTCTCAGTGTGGACAGCGGACATCACTGGGCACTCGCACAGAGACTCTGACTACAGCAGGGTGGCCAATGACTGCCCAGCTGTCTACACAGCAGGTGCTAGGGAGGGACTCAGCTCGTGCTCCCCAGAGAGGGTTTAGGACTCCACACAAGCTCCATGCATGTCTCTGAGTGAGTCCCTGTGCCAACTCCCTTCGGAGTCTGAGTGTCAGCGTCTCTCTGTCTCCTGACTCGGGAACACAGAGGCAGTTCTGTAGGGGATCCTTTGCATATGGATGTTAGAAATGGGGCTCCTTATTTTAACATTTTTCTCTTTTTTTGGTAGAATTTGTTTGTCTCAACCTTTATAAAAGGAGATAGGAGGAACATGGGTTTCAGGGTAGATGCCCCTAGTCAAACCCTGGCTCGGCCACTTTCTTGCTGTGTGGCCTTGGACAAGTTATTTTGCATCTCTGAACTCAGTTTCTTCATTCTTAAAAAGGGATGATGGCATCCATCAAGGGTTGCCATGAAAACTGAGTCTGTTCAGGCACCTCATGCCCCAGACAAGTGTCTAATGGAAGCAGGTGTCAGCACCTGATGGTGCACCTGGGGGGCAGTACAGGGCAGAGAAATGACATCGTGGCAGAAGGGACTCCCCGGATGACCACCGTTTCCAGCAGTCACTCCTGCAAGGTGCAGCTGGCCTGTGGCATGGGCCGCACGCTGAGGGAGGCGGTGCTTTCGGAGTTACAGTAGATCGATGCTTTCCTCCCAGGGAAGGCATCGTGAACAAACGTCTCAATAAGTCACGTGCGTGATCAGCAGAATAATTCAAATCCTTGGATGGTGGGGAGGCCCCATCTGGTGTGAGGCCAGGCTCTGGCCATGGGTGACCTTTCACTGGGTTGCTGGCTCCCTTCATCATCTCCAAAGCAGGACCAGAAACTGAGTGGACGCACAGCTGAGCCTCGGCCTGTGGCAATGACTAAGCCACACGCACAGGAGCCAAGGAGATTGGGTCAAATGTCTCTGCAGACTTGCTGGTCTACGGAAGTCTCACTCCCCCACCCACTGCTGAGGGCTCTGAGCCAAGTCTTAAAAGCATTTTGCAAAGAGGGAATTCTCGGAATGTTTTCCCTCAAGTGCCACAGGGAAGCTTCCCATTTGCACTCCCTGGTGGTCCTAGAGAGGCCTGTGAACTGACCAGCACAGCCCCCCAGGGCTCTGCTCCAACAGCAGGAGCTGCTTCACTGAGTTAGGCACCAACCATGACCTCCTGCACCTCCTCCTCTAGAAAGTCAATACAATTACATTAGAAACATAACAGAATCTCCATTTTTTAAATAAGTATTGTATTTTATAAAAGCCCATGAGTATAACAAAATATAACTTCGCTTATACATATGAAATACACAACACTAGGCATATCTATTAATTTCTGAAAATGTAACCTCACTGCAGAACCTCCTGGGCTTGGCAGGGGAAGATGTTAGGGTACTTCCAGCCTTGATGACAGATGAGGTGACTATGCAGAGACTGGGTGACTCAGCAGAGATCATCCAACAGTACTTGAGAAACATTTTAAATGAAAACTAGAACAATGGACATTTACTCTGGCCTCAAAGCCACTTACGGTCTGAAGGGGAATTCAGAAACAGTTTCGGCTGTCCGTTTGCTGCCAAGAGCCCACAGGCTGAGGAGTGAAGCGCTAGTCACAGAGCTCACTCTTGGGAGCCGTGGCAGGTGGCTGCACCTTGCAGGGGTGATAGATGAGAGGGCTGAGCTTGAGCTGAGCAGATGGGAGCTGGGTGCTCCAGGTGAGCTCACAACCTATGTAGAGTGTGACTGACAAGCCACCTTATTTGAAAATTTTGGTGAGCGAGGACAGAAGCGTTCCCTGGGCTGCAGTCTGGGTTCTGGGGTTGAAGGGACATGTGGCGGAGGAGAGAGACAAGTGCCAGCTGCAGGAAGTTACCATGGGACAGACATCCTCCAGGAAGAGTTAGGAGGGCCCGCCTGGCAGCATACAGCAGAACCCCAGGGAGCCTAGGCTTTTTCATAGATTCATGAAGTGTTTCCGTTCCCATTGTGTGTTTTGGCCAACTTCATTGTCCTGTAAGGCTATGTCGTTCCTTACTTTCCCTCAATTTGCTTATATAGAAGTAATCCAAAATCACTATGCTGACATTCTCTTTGTGAAAACTTAGGTGTGATAAATTCCAAACTAGGGGCGGTGGTTAGTTTATAATCATTACAAGCCTCTAAATAAGCCAGTGGGGTGAACACACATGCCTCTGAGACCGGCTGGTGGAGAAATGAGACAGGTTCCACCAGTCACACAAGCCAGGCGGTCTTGTCACTGCCCACAGAGCCTCAGCCGGTGCACATGTGACATGTGAGCCCACACTGGGACCGGGGGTGTGTGGCATGTGACTATATTTCTAGTCACCCCAGGTATCTGACAAGGGGACCAGCAGGACTTGAACTACTCCACTGCATGGACCTGGCTGTAGGTCAGAAAATAATCATACGTTTCTGCCAAACAAGGGATTTCCTTTGTCTCTACTTAAAATAACACAGATATAAGAGAAAAGAGCAATTCCCCCACCTGTAAGAGGCTGATTGGAGAGTGTTTAATAGATGGCCAGTTGTAGAAGTTGGTAGGATGGTCCTCATTTCCACTTTCTGCTAACAGACCTGCCTCTTACAGGACTCCCAGCTCCCCCAGGCAGTCCCAGTCTGGTTCTGCCCACTCGCCAGCTTCCTGTCCAGTTCCCCACAAAGGCCCTCTGTGCACTACCTTCCAGTTCCTTCCTCCTTTTTCTCAAAAAATCAGGGCCCACTGATTCTGGGTTAGAATGCCCACTGATGTCACCATCAGCAGACTCCTAGCCAGAAAGAGAAGGCTAAATACTCACGTCTATCTAATCTGGTTCAAGGTCAAGTCCCCTTAATACAGCTGCAGAAAACACAAGCCAGCCAGTATCTCAAGGTTGAGGCCTCCTTTAGGAATGCTTCTGAGGCATTTCCTGATGATGAGTGTTCAGCCCGCAGGGGAGGGTGCAGGGGCATGTCCTCCACCCACCTGTGCCGGACCCCATCGTGTACCCCACGCCCCAACACACGTAGATGTGCCCGACCTCATCGTACCCCCCCACCCCCACATTCACAGACGAGGGGAGGGCGGGGCGTTTGCTGAGACCCTCCTTGGACTGAGCAGCCGGGCTGGAAGTCAAAGCCCCAAGCACTCCTGACGTGAGGGGCCAGTTCTGGGCTTCCAGGGACTTTCCAAGGACTTACTCGCAGACAGTGTCTTGCCGGTGGGGAAATGGCAATCCTCCAAGTCACCATCACCTGTGCAAGACTCATACACATGAACGCGCGCGCGCACACCACGCCCACTCACGCACACGCGCCCACACCAGCGAAGCCAGATGGCCCCACGTTAGCGCTGGAGTGGGCTGCTTAATTGGAAAGTCCCGCGCTGCTCGGTCGCGTCGCCACGCCCAGCCCATCAGCACCTGAGGAAGCCAAGCTGGCGCGCAAAGCCAGGTCGCCTGGCCCGCCCCGCCGTCCCCGGACACTCCTCGGAGAGGGGCGGGCGGCGCACGTGGCGGGGCCGGGGCCTCCCGGGCCGCACTGGGCCAGGCGACAGTGCGGGCTGCGGGGCCTTTAAGGGGCGGGAGGGGCGGGCCAGGTGGGGGGTGGACTGCCTGGGCTGCTGGGTGTCCCAGCCGGGGACCCGGCCCCGCCCCCGCCCTCCGGCCGCTCCCCTCCCTCCTCCCTACCTCCGGCCCCGCCCCGGCCCGGAGCCTCCTCCGGCCACTGCTGGGCCGCGAGCGGGACGCCCCGGCCGGCGCGCAGAGGAGGAAGCGCGCTCGGGCCGCGGCCCCAGTAACTTCCCAGTCGTCCGAGTCGAGAGCGCCGGCTTCGGGGTCCTCTTGCTCGCCCACCTTCCCGGGGAGCGCGGCTCGGGGCGCGATCCGGGCGTTCCCTCCCCACGCTCCCGCCGCGCCCCTCCACGCCCCCCGCGCGGCCGGCCGCCGGCGCAGGTCCAGAGCTAGCCGTCTGCGGCTCTGCGCCCGGGCCCGGGGACTGCTTGGCGAAGTTGGGGCGAGGCGGGACGGGTATGCGCCATCACCATGGCCGGGCTGGGCTCGTGGCTCGTCGTGGCGGCGCTGGTCACGGTGGGCCTTTACTTGGCGCAGTGGGCGCTGGCCGGGGCGCACCCCCGGTCCCAGCGGCGGGCGGCGGAGCCTGGCGGAGGACAGCGCCCCGAGTCGGACGCGCTGCTCTCCTGGATCTTGACGCTGGACAGCTGGAGGAGCCAGTGGCAGGCGGCCTGGGTGGCTGCCCTGAACCATGAGGCCGAGAGGAAAGGGGTGAGTTTCCCAAGACCGAGTCGCGGTGGGGGGGTCGGGAATGGCCGGCGCGGGGCTCCGGGCCAAGGAGACCTCTCCCTCCTGGAGTCGGCGCTGCAGCCTCTGACCGACCGGAGGGAGCCTTCTCCGCGGACGCACAGCATCCTTGAAAGTTAGGGCAAAACCTGGGAAAGAGAGGACCCCTGATGGGGGAGTCAGGACCAAGTGATTCGACTTTATTCACCAAACATCAGGTGTGCCAGCCTGGGGCTCGGCAGCAGGGAAGACAGGCTGCCCAGGGGCTTGTCGGAAAGGCTCGTTCCTCACAGATGCTGCCTGCCGGCCGGCCTGGCTTCCCGGCTAGATTTCTGTATCCGATTGGGCACTTACTGATCTTGCATCTGATACATGAATAACTGTGACCCAAATATGCTTCCATCTCTAATAGAGCTGAATTGTGCCAAGAATTTTCTTTCCAAAGGCTTGAATTTCCTGGTAAAAAAAAAAAAATAGTGTCTATTGTTGAGGGCCAGACATTGGCCAGATGTTGTACTGGGGGCTTCGTCCGCCAGCATCAGCTCCTTTACAGAGGAGGAAACAGGGCTGGAGAGGCCAGGCAGTCTGCCCAGGTGACCCAGCTGCCTCTGGTGGGAAGCCCAGGGTTTGTTACTTCACTCCAGTGCCTCACTCTCCTGTGGCTGTTTCTTTCATTGGTGATTACTCGGTGACTTATTTCTACTTTTAAGACTTCTTAGTTTAATGACAGGCTCCTGAGTCCACTATTTTTAGGCACTTCCTGGGAGGAATTAGGACCTGGTAGGTTTGGGGACATGCCTCGCAGCCTGGGCTGCTGCTCCTGCACCTGCCTGTGCAACTCAGTGGCTGTGTCTTTGGAACAGTGAAATCACCAATACTTAACGTCTGGACCCATCAACCTTCAAAATATTCCACAATGGGCCCGGTGCCTGGTCTTTGTGCCATGGCCTTGGAAAACACAGCTATCGAAATAAAAAAACAAAAAAGCTTTGAGTATAAATTAGTGTAAATCCAACAATTCAAGAGACCTTATTCTGAACTCCTGGAGAAAAAAAAGAACAACCCACATAACTTAGATGGAAAAAGGATTCAAAGTCTTGGTGCCTCTAATCTGTGCCTTGGCTATCCAGAGCTGGGCATCTCAGGACTGGCCATCTCTTGTGGGAGCCCTCAAGCCCTGTGTCCTCAGGCCTGGAACAAATACAGATGCTCAAGGACAGCAGACACATGAAGTGACTGTCACTGACCCTTGATTGACCTGGTGTCTGTACCACTGCAGGTGTAAGTGGACCTTGTCTCTGTACTCTTACAGGATATGGGCAGGTGTTGGGGGATGACCTGTGGGCCATTCTGCTTCTAACACTGGGACTCCTGACTGGTTTTCAGGCGTGGGCTGTGACTCTACCACCCGTAAGGCTGGGATGGCTCTTATCCTGACATTTCTTACACCTCCTCAGGTACAGCACTCTAGATTCCCTCATGCCTGGAGCGCTGAGAGAGGAGTAGATCCCTGCCCTGAGGTTTCTCTTGGCTCAAGCAAATCTGAGAACCCTGAAGAAATTATTCAAAAGTTTTGAACAAACACCTTTTACCTATGTGTCTGTGTGGGTGCAGGGAGGGCTTTGTGGTCAGGGAGTGGACATCCAGGTCTGGCATGTTTGCATTTTCTCTGTCCTCTGTCTGCTGTTGGCCACAAGGTGCAGTGTCACACATCAGTTTTTCTAGAGTTCCTGCTTGGAAGTGGCAGTAATGTGCCAGGTTCAAGCTCAAGGCAGCTCAGATCATCCTGGGCATCTTTACCTGGATGTGGTGGATTGGCAGTTGTGTGGCATTGCTCTGCCTTCCCGCTGGGATGGCCCTGGTGCCTGGGAGTGTCACTTGTTTGGGATTCAGATGGAGGGTTTTGCAGGCAGATGGGATCTGGGTAACTGGCTCCCTGCTGATGTCGCAGGCGCTCCTGGGCCTTTGCTGTAGAGACAGCAGTGACAGCGTGGGTGCGTAGGGGCTGGCGTTGGCACTCGTGGGCGCCCTCCCCCACCTTGATTCCCACTAATCCCTGATTAGGGCTGGCACTCCACGCCTGCGCTTGCCCAGAGCCAGCTTAGTGAGGCCTCCGGTCCCTGATGTCACTCTGCCCACCTGGGATGAGACCAGTTCGTGGTCTGTCACGGGTGAGTGAGGACGCTGATGACAACTTAGTCATGTCCTCTGTCTTCTATGAAAACTGGGATTTTCTGTCTAACAGTGACAGTGTCCCTTGCATGCTCAGGTTTAGCCTAGCTTTGTATTTTAAGAAGGAAAGAAACTCTCAACCCTGCTGGCCGAGCCTCTCCCTTCTCCAGAGGACTGAGGCCCAGGAGCTCATTTGCTAAGTCCAGCCCAGACGCCGGGGTGGGACCTTCACTGTTAGGCCGTGGCTGTGGCATGTTCCCTGTGGGAAGCAAATTTGACTTTGAGACCAAAGTGTTTCCTTTGTGTAGGGCCGGGCTGGAAGAGATCACAGCTGTGTGATGCATCACACATGTACATCATGTGCCCCGGGGTCCGAGAGTGGGTCCCATCCTGCCCAGGCCCCTTGTCTCTAGTGGCCAGTGAATTTAGCAACACAGGGTTCCTGTGTCATAGGGAACCCCAGATTCTGGCCCTTACTCTGGAAATGTTCTTAAATCACACGGGATGGCAATTAGGGCCAAAACAGAGGAAGCCATTGCCAACCTACTGGGTCTCAGGTGGACACAGGTGGACACATGTGTGCAGGGACCACAGGAGACCCAGCCAGAGATCGTAGAAATACCCCTGCTGCTACAGACTTAGCAGGCTCGTATTGGCAGGAGCATGGGACGCACCCCATAAGCACTTTCTGTGGGCTGAGAGTCTCTCCGGGAACCTGCTGGTCACCTACATGTCCCTACAGCAGCCATCAAGCAGAGTTTCCCTTCCCCCTACAACACTGCAAAGTGTTGTTTTCACCCCCTACATCTCTGCTTGGTCTGGTAGTGAGCCAGTGGCCCACTGTCGACCAAACAGTGCAGCTCCCCTCCCAAGTCTGGCCGCCTGGACTGCGTGATGGCAGCAGGGGTCCCAGAGAGGAGCAGGTTCTATCACTCCCCGGCTTGTCTCAGAGAGGCCCACCTGAGCTGGCTGAGGCTAGATTAGGTAGGTCCCAAGGCTTTTTGTTTCTTTAGACCTTTGGGCCAGGATTTCTTCAGAGGAATGTCCTAAATGCAAATGAGTAAGATTATCACTGTACTACGTGGTCTTACAAAAAAAAAAAAAAAAAAAAAAAGATGCTGTGTGAACTCAGAACATGTTATTAATAGCTCTGACTTATACACGAGTTTCTGCAATTTAAAGGTAAATTATGTGGTTATAAGACTTAAGAGTCTTTGCATTGTATAATGACCTTGCAGTTACACTCATAAAAATCCAAACTCCTAGACCAATGCCAGTGGCCACAGTGCAGAAAGTCAGTTGGTAAAACCATGAAGGCTGCCTGGAGGAGGGGCTGCCAGTAGAGGACACACCAGCCTTTGGGGGGCAGCTGACCCTGTGACCTCCCCATGGGCCTCCTTTCAGTTGCTTACTCAGGGATCTTTCCTACATGGGGCCTTCCCACAGCCAACCCTTTTGTTTGGAATACTTATCTCCCTTCTCCTTATTTAACTTCTCTGAATCTTTGCTCCCTGAACCTCCCATTCTGCCATGACGCTGCCCCACCCCTTACCTCCCCAGCCCCAATCCCCAGTGGTCACTTGTGCCCTTGTCAGCTCCTGGCATTGTGAGCTGGGGCAGAGCTGGACCTGGTGCCCAGCACAAAGATGGCTTGGAGCTGGCCCTGATGGTCATGGGGTGAATGACAGGCCCTGTGGGAGGGAAGGCACAGTGGGGCTGCACATCACCCTGTCTGGACACTGGCCTTCTGGCTTGGGAGCTGGCCAAGCCTGGGCAAAACAAGCTGTTGAATGTGTTTGTTTTTCACTTCTAAAGCATCAACATTAAAGGAGGCTCACTGATGACTTTGCAAATCATCAATGTGAAACCCAGAATAGGCGCCAGTTCGGATTGTTCTTTGCAATCACCCATTTTCCCAACAAGAGAGGAATTCAGGAAAGAGTGGGTGTAGTGTTAATGTCAACTAAAATTCAGCCAAAGCTAACTTCCACTGCCCACTGGTAGGCTGCTGAGGAGGGAAGGGACTTCTTAGCTGTTTGGAAGAGCTCTGCGAGTTCCCACACTTACCAGCTGTGGATGCTGGGCCAGGCCAAGCCTCTCGGCCTCACCTGTGGAAGGGGTAACTGGGTTTGGTCCAGAAAACCAAACCTACCTCTCCAGAGATGAGAGCAGATCTGTGTAAGGCATTAATGCTTATCTCGTAATGAGTCAATAAAGGTGGGCCACTCCCTTGAAAAGTTTCTCTTTTTTGAGACAGAGTCTCAGTTTGTATCCCTGGGTAGAATGCTGTGGCATCATAGTTCATAGCAACCTCAAATTCTTGGGCTTAAACAATCCTCATGTTTCAGCCTTCTGAGTACCTAGGACTACAGGAGTCTGCCACAATGCTCAGCTATTTTTAGAGATGGGGTCTCGCTCTTGCTCAGGCTGGTCTAACTCCTGAGCTCAAGCAGTCCACCTGCCTCAGCCTCCCAGAGTGCTAGGATTACAGATGTGAGCCACTGTGCCTGGCCCCATAAAGGTCTCCCTTTAAAAACTTTATTTTGGGCTCGGTGCCTGTGGCTCAAGCGGCTAAGGCGCCAGCCACATACACCTAAGGTGGCGGGTT